TAGAGAAAACAAGAGGTAAGAAAAGAAAACTGCCGTTGCGAAACTGTCGGTTGAAGAACCTCTACACACTGACGTGCCGTGGGGTTTACCCCAGGAAGCGGCTTATTTAGAGGTGTCGTTAACCCTGCTGCCTTCCAGGTCCTAAGCAAAACTGTCTGCCAAGAACTCTTACCCTGCGGATTCCTCTTTCTTTTGTTTGAGGCGGTCTGCGCGTAAGTTCTTGAGATCCCCCCCCCCCCCANAATCGGTTTCGACTTTTGATGGCAACCTAAGTGCTCACGGCTCAGCTTGCTCATGGCCTCTGGGCGCTGCTTCGCAAACGCTGACCTAGCCGCATCCTTACATTGTTTACACACCCGCTCTAGCCAGCTATCTTGGTAATAGAAGGCATAGGGTTCTTCACTCATGCCTGAAAATACCGATTTCGCCCACCTTTTACAGGTTCCACGTTCGATTCCCTTGACCACCTTCTTTCCGCAGCTAGCCTTCAAACATGGTTAGGATACTCGCGTCATTGCAAGGTGTCTATCTGTTGGAGAGAAAAAAAGTTATAACATAAAACGGTTGTGTTGTAGTTAGCACTCGGAGTAGTACTTCGTATACGTATCGAGATCCGCGCAGTAATGGTCCAACCCAGAACTAAGAGTCGAAACGAAATCAGAACACAGAACTCAACGACGGAATGAAACTGTGATAAGCGGAAATTCGGAATGTACAAGAATATCGTGTTCTATAAAACAGGAGTTCACAGTTCATGAGCAATCACCACATCCGCCGCAGCTTGAACGAAGGTCCGGTTTTCTGTAATGACGGTGGGCTTTGTTGGGTAATCGTTCAGGTCTTCTGGGTTCTTCTTTACTGTTTCCAACATTTGTACTGGGATGTAATTCACCTGGAAATGACTCAGAAATAAAAGAATTAGTAAGTTCACAACTAGTATCAGGATTAGGTAAATTACAAATTACTTGGTCTACATGTAAACCATGTACAGTGCCATCGTTTAGATCCAATATGCGACATACTCTTTGTCCCATATTGTATAGTACAATGCCCCTGGAGGGTCGTAGATCGTTACCACCATGATACACGACTTCCGCAGACTCCAAGTGTAGAAGATTTGTTCGAAGTACTCGACTCTTAAACAGCTTTGCTGGACTGTGTCCCGTAGTTGAATGTACCGCGTTACGGTATTGCATCAGAAAGTTATCAACGTCTCTGTACAGTTCGTCGAATGTACTGGGATTCAAGGAAGCAATGGCACTCTTCAGCGTGCGTACAAAGTTTTCGGCTGCGCCGTTGGATTGCAGATGTCGGGGTGGAGTGAGAACATGCCGACAACTCACGGAGTTCAACCAATCGGGAACTTTCTTGGCAGTAAAATGACTTCCATTGTCAGTTACGATAGCATGCGGGACACCTCTACTGAACGTTTTCCTGAGTGCTCGAATAGTAAATTCTGAACTAGGAGTTGTGATAAAGTACACTTCTGGCCAACGGGAATAGGAATCGACGATCGCCAATGCGTAATACTTGTTAAAGAATAGACCACAGTAATCCACATGTATTGTTTTCCATGACTCAGATGATGGCCACGGAGTCCATTTTGAAGGCTGTCTGTGAGTTTTGTGCACACATTCAGCACAGGATTTCACACCACGATTCAGATCATGATTCAATTCAGGCCACCAGCATGTGAGATGAGCAAGAGATTTCATCTTTTTAATGACGAGATGACCGGAATGTAAGTCATTGAGAACAGCAGTACATAATGTCAGAGGTATGATAATGCGATCGTTGTAACACAAGACACCATCA